CCCAAGTCTCAAAGTCTTCTTCCCCTGACAGGACGGGTACCTTCCCTGAATAGAACCGTAGTTTACGATATCCATAATGAGGGAACTGTGTTGTATTTCTCGCAGAGTTTTCAGCCAGTTTCCTTATGTCCATGAAGAAAGAGGCTGGTAAGCCTTTTGAGACTGACACAGAGGAGTCATTCACTTCCATTACATCAGACATGGTCTCACTGGACTCTTCTGAAGGGCTGGCTGACACCTTAAGGGGGAGTATCTGTACACAGGTTTCCGGAGTAAGTAGAGCGTTGTCTCCCTGGAAACAATCAGGAATTCCCTTCTTCCATTCTAACAATGCATAGGTATGAGAGTTTTCTGAGTCCCTCTTCATATCTATCACAAACACCTTCTGCTCAGGTGCTAACAAGGTCACTGCTTGCCGAACCTGATCCTCGGTCCAACTGCCATCAGGGATGTCTATGACTATGCTCATCCCGAATTGGCCATTCTGTTCTTGACACCACTTGGTGACTGCGTCTTGATCCATGTTACCAATTTGTCCCGTTGGCGCGGTCATTCTCTGGTGAGGGGGTTCAGAAAACTATCCCGGACAAGCCCCCAAATGTAGCGCTCACCCCCGAAGGAGCCGCTGAATTACCGGATATTTCTATCCCCCCTGCACCAATGTACCGCCCAAAGCGTTGATCCGAAGCACACCAACACACCTTCAATTGATCTTATAGCAGATTTACTGACAAATCAGATATGAATAACTATGATACAATAGTAATGACAACAATCACCAACAATAATGTGTAGCAACAGGCTGAGGCACTCTGCAACTCAGTAACTGCAGCTATATGCTGTCAGCACTGATGTATGTGAGGCCAACTGTCTTTAAATGTCCACCCTGTAATGGGGTGTTTGCCCCTTTAAGGTTTCCCTTTAGCAATGCCCAACCCTTACTAGACTACTGGCCAGTAGTGGTGTCCTAAGCTAGCCGGCGTTGGGGCCCTTACTGTAGTGCAGATATGAACAGCAAACAGGTTCTCAATGTGGCCAGAGGCCTCTCACCAATCCTCAGGTCAGT